ACACAGATGCATCATAAAGTCTGAGTTATGTAGACATGGTTTCTTTCAGAGACTAGGCAGCTGAAATGATGACAAGGAGAGACACAATCACCATCCTAACAGGCCAGCATTAACTTAGGAAGAAGAAGATAATAATAAGATAATAAAGAAAATAATTTCCAGAATATTTCTAGGATATTTTGATAAACATAAGACTTGCTTGACTGAAATCAGAATCCATTATTTGGACTCTACTGGAGAAAACATTTAGGCTCTGTACGTGTCTACATTCTTATCCAGGATGGAAAACCATCAGCGTATGTCTTGAAACAGAGTTGCTGTTTCTGGCAAACCTTCACTTACTTTCACAGTGCTTGGACAACACGTTACAAGTCCAGCAACCTTTGTTGTACATAGAAATACTTTGTTGCATGAGCAACGTATTGGACCTTGTGGCCTTCGGTGATGATTACCCTTGTGAAGACCACAAGCTGAAATGTTTCAACAAACCAGTGAAGCTGGTTGCAAGCAAGGTCAGGATAATAGTCGGCACCACTTCTGAATGTTAAAGGTACGTGTACTGCAAGTACTGTAAGAGTATTCGTTGCATCATTTGTCTTCAATCCATATCATGTGAAAACACATAAAGCAGAGTGTTACCGTGGCTTCCTCAGTAACCAGGCTACTGGTGTTACCAGACAGATCGAGGTGGGTCAGAGATGTTGAGAACCTTTGACTGGAGGACAACACCTGACTCAGACAGCCGAGACCTGGAAAAAAAACAATCAAACCACAAATAATGATTATTTTGAATGGGGTAAGGATGTGACAGCAAAGATGGTGTGAAACACATTTATGGCGGCAGGCAAAATATCCGAAGGAATCCTCCTTTTATTCATTTCATATTCACTCAAAGACGAGCAAAAGAGGAATCTGCAAAACTGATATACCTGGATGTATTGTACAAAAATATGATCATACTATACTCAGCATTTGTTCGAATTTGTATCTAAGAGGTGTGTTTTAACACACTAATTATAATTATTTAGTGGTACAATGCAGTGTTGACAGGAAGTGCTTTTATTTTGAAGTGCAAGGTCATCAGGAACAACATTACCTTTTGGTCGAGTGACTTTTAAGCAGCACATTCAGCAACTAAAATGTTCTACTGAATGGTTTCTTTCTGGCATTCAATATATGCTTTCAGACTGTAAAAGTCCTGAGTGTTCACCTCCTCTTCATATTTACTCGATTCTGTCTTCATTCTGCTCCTTATTAAACTGATGAAAACAGCACATTATTTCTACAGTTTATAGTGTTTGTACCTCTGGCAGTCATCGACACCCTGGACAGGGAGAGGCGCTTGAGTCCTTTCTCCAGATTCTCCAAATTCTGACTTAGCGCTATTACACCTTGCAGTGAAAACACAAAACATTAACACAACTGTGAGTTAAAATAGTGTCTTTCAAAGGGATGTAATTTGCAGAAAAGCACAGGTAGAGGCAATGACATTAATAATAATTCAACTCTGCTGCGATTTGTATATTCTCATTCACTGACTTGACACTTTTTAGAACAAAAATATTCTTATTTTTAGTCATTTTATTCGGTATCTATGATTTTTACCTGCATTTTATGATGTGTCTGTGCTGGTGACGCTTGCCTTTTCTCAGGAAGGCTTTTATGTTCTACTAGAATCAAATTTGTTTGCCAATCACTTCATACCTTTAATAAAAGTTTTCACTATATACATATTACTGTCTGAGTCTGCACAGACATGAATCTAAACTGCAGCTGTTTGGTGAAGGCATACAACTACAAACCAGTTATTATGATTTGCAGCAGTAGACCCCTTCCCCTTATTCACATCTTAGTCACAACCACATACATGAATCAGGTGTCAAATCTAAAAAGCTCACCTTTGTCTTCAATTGGATTGCCAGAGAGGTTGATAGATTGCAGGCTAGACGAGGCATGCTCTTTGAGGGCAGCAGCCATTTTGACTGCAAAGTCCCTGTAAAGAAGATTATTGTCAGTCCCAATACCTGTAAGCTACACTGTAAATCAAAGTAATTTAAAGTCTGCCTAGTTTAAAGTCATGGTTAAAAGCTCAAACGTGCAGTGAGGAGCTCTGTTGAGCTGTGCGGAGCATTCTGCTGGTTTGAAACTAATGCTCCTCTCAGTGTTCTCTCCTGCTGTTAGTGGTTTCTTCTGCATGATAATAATGCATTCATCAATAGAGCACCTGGGCTCCATAATGACCCCGCATCTTTCTGAGACACTTTCTGTTTTTTCATTGATTTTTGACCCGTCTGTATGTGGACACAGAAACTCACAGCTTCAGTCCACTGGCCTCCAGCGAGAGCTCGTCCAGGCTGGGAGATCTCGACAGCAGGTAAGTCAGCTGCTGCTGGATATCCACTGACTGAAAGAACAAAACAAGAAACGTGCAGAGTGGTGTTTCCAACTTTCTTTTTTGCATTAGCAGTGGCCCATAAACACATGCACATGAATCCAGGAGCTGGGAGAGGTTTTTATAAAGTCCTGGTGGGGATTTTTTTTTAACCCAAGTTATTTTGTCATTGTGTATTTGGTCTTAGAAATAATTTGGTCTGGAGTGATATCAAGAATGGAAAAGAGCAAAATTTCAGTTCAATTCAATTTCATTCATGTTGCACCAAATCACGACAAGTTTCCTCAAGTTACAGACCCCAGCTCTGTACTCTTTACCAGCCTCAATAAATCAGCGCCACACACCCGAACAGAACAACTTATGAATGATTGTGATCCAAAACCCTCAAGAGAAATCAATCTTTTATGTTTTTTTATATGCTTTTCTAATAGTTTTTAAATATTATTCATAATAAAGGAATTTACGCTTAAGAATGTCACCTGAAATGAGAGCTAAGGAGAAGAAGATTATCATCTGATCAGCTTATTAACTGATGGGGTCACAAGCAAATAACAGTCAAAACAATAAAGCAAATAATTATTTCCATATAGATTCCACAGTCTGATAACATCTCCAGCACCGCAGTCTTGCTCTGTGACAGTTGTTTTGGATCTAACATATATTTTGTTCCTATTATTAAATGACCACTTAGTTTATTCATGAGAATAATAGTCGTCATTTTGAGAAAAAGCTGGATTCAAGTGTGCAAACCTTTAGGTAACTCTTTCAAACACTCAAACATAAATAAATAAAAATCATAGTGTACCAGTTTGAGATCTTTGCAGTAAATCTTTGTAAACCACTGGTTAAAGGACAAAGCCGCTACTGCCAATGCCAGGTCCCTGTGAGGAAAGGAGACAAAGAAGGTATGTAACAGCGGTAAAGAATGACTGGATTAGCCATCATGATGCTGTATCTCACCTGCTGTCTAAGTGGCTGAAGTCCTGCAGGTTGAATTGTCTCCAGTTGTGGATGTAGTAGATGTTGTCAACATCCTGCATAAACAGTTTGACATTAATTATAATATTTGTATAAAAAGTGCTAAAATTGATTTAAAATTGTAGAATTTATTTCAAATGTGAGTCATCTAAAGTTTGGTGCAGATGGCATTACTAGATTTTATGTTGATGCCACATTAACATACCCACTGAATCTCTTCTCTAAACGGCATCTCATTGAAATCACACAAAGCAGCATAGGTATCAGAGAATCCTCCTGGGAACGATACTCAGATACATTAGTTCTAGCTTTAAATTCATTTGTTTTTCTGAAATGCAAAACTGTCGGTGATCATGTAGTTAGTGTTGCTAATGTTTGAATCATACGGTGTTTATGATCAACTGAAATGGTCTTTAGCTTTATCACAGTATGTACAACACATTTATAAATGTTTACATGTTAGTACAGTAAGTGATATCCCAACTACAATATCAGGGAAATGAAACACACCACAGTAGCCAGGCTGACTGCTCATCTGCTCCTCTATCGCACCAATCAGTGTGAGGAGTCGGTCCTTGAGATCGGGTGGAATTGTCTTCAACAGCTTTCTGAGGATTAAAGGAAAATATGAAATGTACCCCATGAAACTGCAATACTCTGCAGACAGACCAAGAGTCTATTGACTGGGAGCAGAAATTCAGGTCTTGACTCACTTGATCTATTCCCTCATTAAACACCTCAAAGTATTTTGGCCTTAAGGTCTTACTAAATATATATAATTGTGTTGCTTTTAGAATTTCTAGTCATGTTTATTGTCCTGAAAGCCTAGTAAAGTTGGACAGATCTACCATGTGTGAGATCTGATTTCAAAAAACTAAGGTCCCAAAGGTGAACAAGCTCACTTTGACTGTGCAACAACAGGCCTTTGGAAACCAGCTGATGACATTGTAGTGGCTACGTCTTTTATATATAGTCTATGATTGTTTCCTGTATTCATCAAACTGTATGTAAACTTGGGGAGTATCTTTAAAAACACACACTGTATATAATAAACATATAATGTTTTCTGTGATTTGAGAAGCCATTGGCTTTGAGACTGGTACGAGCCCACTGCAAGACGGACCCACCCTGGTGAAGAATCAGGAAAGATCCTCTTCAATGAGGCGGTCATGTGACTGATCATGGCTTCAAGATCTTCAGTGTGTAACACACTGAAATACAGAGTCTGTCTGTCTGTCTCCAACACAATCTGCAACACATCCATACGTGTGTTACTCTCCGCATATAAAAACTAGAGTCTTTTTTATAGAATCAAATATTGTCTTAATGTGTGTTTTATATATGCATGTGCATATAAAAATTTAATGTAAAAACAGGTTATATATTGACACTGATAAATGGTGTACCTTCATGTGACTATGAATATTAATGGCGCAAATCTCCAGGTAGCTAAAGGTGCTCTCCACCTGTGCATGAGAGA